AACCTCTTCTATAGAAGAGGTTCCACAAATCTACAGTGCCGTTTAGAACCGGTTCTAGCTCCCTCCCCCCGCCCATCCGCACATCATCAAGATGAAGAGTGAGAGGAGGAATTCTGGGAGTTGAAGTCCACAAGTCTTAAAGCTGTCAAGTTTGAACACCTCTTGAGGTTTTTTTTCTAAAGGGTTAGGGGTTCAAGGGTCTTATAACTTGACAGCTTTAAGACTTGCATACTTCAATGCCAGAGTTCCTGAGCCAACATGACTGGAGGAGGAATTCTGGGAGTTGAAGCCCACATGTCTTAAAGCTGTCAAGCTTGAACACCCCTGGAGTTTTTTTTCCTAAAGGGTTAGGGTGCAAGGGTCTTGTAACTTAACAGCTTTAAGACTTGTGTGGTTCAAATGCCAGAGTTTCTGAGCCAACATTTTGGTTGCTAAGCAAGAGCGTTTTTAAGTGAGTTTCACCACATTTTATAAGTTGGTCATGCCTATCCAGTCACATGGCTGGCAAACCACTCTCACTCGGTCACATGGCTGGCAAGCCACTCCCACAAAGCACACCTACAGAAGAGGTTCTAAAAATTTTTGAGACCCACCACTGACACACGTGTGCTGTTAAAAAGCCACAACAGTAGTGAAATGAACATGTTAACTTTACTGCTGTCGCTACTGGGAATTCAAAACTATGTAAATATGGAAGGGAAATCAAACAGTGTTATCAGACACTGCAAGACAAACAATCTGTTGCTTATCTAGAAGTACAAATATTTTAAAAAAGTAAAAAATAAAAAAATAAACTCCACTTAGATAAGGTTGGCGAGTGACTCCCATAGCAGGGTTCATAAATTAATTTAGTGCAATTGAGTCCACTAAAGGTTTTTGCATTGGCTGCTGCCTTTGAGGGCAGAAGGCTTTTAAGAGGTATGGGATTGGGTCTATGTGAAACATGTACAGTTTTTGTACATACTGGCGTGTGGCACATTTTATTGCAGGAAGTGAACAATTACAGTAGCAATCTACCAGTCTCAGAAACATTTGAGCACTGAGTTGGCTTTTTTTGTTGGAATGTTTAATTGCATTGTTCCTAGGGAGAATGCCCATTAGTGGAGAATTCATTAAACTTATTGAACTCTAGCTTTGTCCAATTTCTGACTATTTACAGCAAAGTATCCTGCAGGTGGCACATTCATTCTTCACTCTAACGGACGGAATTTTCTTACATTCTGTAGTTCTTGTTTCCTGTGTTTCCTCTACTTGTGTTCTTCAAGTGCACTTCCTGAAAATAAAAGACATATTATTTTGTAAGTGAGAGTGGTTGACAATCTTCGTCTCACTTAATGCTGCAATAGTTCTCTTCCTATTTTTTGAATGGAATGATGAGAAGCTAGTTTATATCAAGTAGAGGTATGTGGCCCAATTGAAATCCAGTCCATATTTAAATACTTAAAATTCTCTTCCATCATTTTCCTGCAAGTTAATAAAACACAGATTTAGAACAAACCATTCTGTTTCCTTTCATAGGTATTTTCCCTAGAATACATATGGCTTTTCTAGATACAGTCCCTATTGAATAAAATTGCCCTTTATGTACACCTTTTGGCATATAACATTTCATAATAGACAGCTTTTTGTCTGTAGTTTCAAAAATATACTCATTTGCATTAAAATTCCTTACTATCATTGATACTATGACAAATTTTGCATTGGTTGAGTATGGCATTTCATGCTAAACAGAAAGCCTTAATCATGAAACTGTAAGTTTATCTAGTGTAGAAATTTTGTTTTTCAGTTATGGTGGCTTGGATCTATGGAAGATGTAGTGGAATACATCTGCATTGCTTCAAGTTTGGGAAGAGTGTTGTACAACATTTTGTTTTTATAACATTTTTCTTTTAATGTTAATTTTTATACATAGCTTCCCCCTCCCCAATTTTTCATTTTATTGTTGTTTGCCATGCAGAGTTGCTTTTGTGAGATGAACAGCTGTATAAAAATGAGAATAAATAAATAAATAAATAAATAAATAAATAAATAAATAAATAAATAAATAAATAAATAAATAAATAAATAAATAAATACTAACTGGAAGCAGCTTCCTTGGTAGAGTTTGACTATATAGATCTTTCCGCATTATTTGGCTGTATGGCTAAACTCTGTCAACTCCCAATTTTTCAAAGGTAATTTATGGTATTTGGAAACACATCAACATTTAAATCAGAATTTGCAAAGGACAAGTTCCAGAATGCCAGTTTCAGTCCTATTCTGACTCCCAGATTGCAATCTAAGACGGTATAGAAAGCGTAGAACAGAAATAGATCCCTGGGGGTGGGGGTGGGGGGCTACCAGATATTGCCAACAATGTGAAAAAGAATTTCTGACTCTTGTCCTAAGGAATGAGACTAGGCTGCGGTGGCTCACATGGTTAGGATGCTGAGTCAGAAGACTATTGAAAGGTCAACAGCTCAGCAGTTCAAAACCCAAGAGTGTGAGCCACACGATGGAATAAACCCCCATCAATTTATCCCAGCTCCTGGCTACCTAGCAGTTTAAAAGCATGAAAATGCAGATAGATAGATAGATAGATAGGGACCACTTCAGTGGGAAAATAATAGGGACATTAAAGGTATCCCTTCAGGTGTCCCATAGGCAATGGTGATATATCTGGCTAATCCTTTCAACCTGGAAGCACTAGACTAGATGGGTCAATCTCATCATCAGTCATATGTCCCTGTATTCCCACAAGAGATCTAAGTCCAGTTCACCTTGAATTTTCTTCTAATCTTACCTCCCACCAATGTTCCTTGACCATGAGTAGTTCAGATTCTTGTAGAGAGCTTAGTCTTATAATAAATCTTTATAACTCTTTGAACTGCCTGGATCTCCCGATTTCCCTGGTGCTTAACATTAATCTGAATTACTAGAAAGGAATTCAAGGTGGACTGGTCTAAGATCTCATGAGCAGGGACTCATGATTGATGACACATTTGATTTCTCCTTTGGGCTCATCTCCTATAGTATAATAGGCCAGGAGGTAGGTAGATTGATAGAATGGGAGTTGTTTGTTAAGAGTTGGCATTTAAAAACCACTTACAGTATGTGAAAGATTTCAAGCTGCTATGCTCCAAATAAATACTATTACATATGATTCTCCCATTTCTGGATATATAGTTAAGGATTAGTTGAAAATGTGTAGAAAAATGGTTCCTTTGAAACTATGCCAATCTCCTGGTTGTTTAGCTGCAGCTATTTTTGTCTGCAATGGAAAATCTTGTACAACAAACTTTCTGGCAAAGTTATAACAAGTTTAATTTGTGAAATGATATGACCAATGTGAGTCCAGCAACAACACTGTATTGAGTTTGAATGCTATTCCTTGGAGAATCTAAACTTAACCTGACAAAGCATTATATGTTAGCCACTAATAACGTAAAAGTCAGTGTAATATAATAGTTAAGGTGCTGGACCAGAATTAAAGAGATCTAAGTTGAAGCCTACCTCAACTATAGAAATTCATTGGGCAATGTTCTCTCACCCCAACCTACCGCAGAGTCTTGTTGTGGGGGGGAAAAGAAAGAGAGAATGGTATGTATATCACTATATTCCTGATGGAAAGGTTTAATATAAATTTAGCAAATGTGCTTTATTTTATCCAGTGCTTTATTTTATCTTTGCCTTGGTTATCTTCAGTTTTGACACTGCAACATGATTCATCTGGGGCTGTCCTTCAAAACATACGGAAGTTTAAATTGGTACATAATATAGCACCTAGTTTGCAGAAGCCGAAGAAAATACAGACATCATATTAACTCTGAACTGAAATATCTTCACTGTTTACCAGATGCTTACCAGGCACATTAAGGTGTCGATATTAACTTTTAGAGCACTGCTTAAAATCTGATTGTACAAATTAAATTATTTATTTTTAGCACTTAGGAGAGAATTTTCACCTATATTAGTTGCTTTTGACAAAATGGGTGGCATGTAAGTTTAATAAATAAATCACTCCCACTTAATGGAATGAAGTCCTTTAGGTGCTTTCATCTTCACTCTTTCAGTGATTAAAAATATTGTACAGTGGCAGCTGTTTTGTCACATTTTTAATTTTTAAATAATTTAGCAATAATTTCAATTAATATTTTAACTTTCCCCCTTTTAAAGAAATGTTATTGCCTTTTATTAAATTGTTGAGTCAGTTTGAGTGCTCGCTGGAATAGAAAGCAATGAGTAATTAGAATGAAGAAAGAAGCAAAATAAAAAAAGTGACTTTGGTCTAATTAAGGTGGTTCAGTGGTTAAATGCAGCACTGCAGGCTACTNTCACTAAATAAACTGTTGTAAGCCGAGTACCTGTATTACTCTTTGATATTAATGTTTTAATGAATTAGAAACCCTAAATCAATCGTGCATCTTTTAACAAACCCTTCTATCTCATCTTTGCCATTGTTTCCAACTCATTTCAAATGTGCTACTTTGCTTGTACCTCTTACTGTTTTGGTAAGACCTTTCATAAACAAGCTACAGAATAGCACCATTGTACCATTAAAGAGATTTTTTTTTTACATACTGTTGGTTATATGTGTATGATTAATATGCTAAATTTCTACATATTGCCTTATAGGGAAGAAAAAGACATTTATTTATATTGTTAATAAGTTATCTGAAAGAGTCACTGAGAATTTAAGAGCGCTTATATGAGCTCTCAGCTTACCTTGACAAAAATTATTATATTCTTCAAATTGCATATACCATAATTTTCAGAGTATAAGACGCACCAAGATTTTGAAGAGGTGAATTTAAAAAAATAGTTTTTGCACTCTGCAGACCTCCCAAAAATGGCCCGTTATTCACGAAAACAGGCCCATTTTTTTCAAAAAAATGGGCATGAATAGTCTTTAGGAGGCTTGTAGAATGCTCCTGGGGGGGTGGCCCCACCCCCAGAAATGAGAAAAAATGGCCCTTTTTTTGCAAAAAAGGATCTGTTTTTTTGTAAAAAAGGGGGGCATGCATAGCTTTTAGGAGGCTTATAGAGTGCTCCTGGGGGCTGGGGGGGGGGCAAAACTGAGCAAAAACCGGCCCGTTTTTCACTCATTCCTACCCTCCCCAGCCCCCAGGAGCACTTTGGAAGCCTCCTAAAGGCAATGGACAGCCATTTTGTGAAGGGGGCAGGGTTCCGGAAGGCAAAAAAATGCTGCATTCAGTGTATAAGACGCACTCAGATTTTCAGCCTCTTTTTTGAGGGAAAAAGGTGTGTTTTATACTCCGAAAAATATGGGTATGTCTATTTTCATCTGTAATGCAGTGGAATGGCCATCTTAAAACCTAGACCCAGAAGCTTGCTTTAGATATTGGAGTTTGCACAGGGAATTCCAATATATGCAAGTTGTTCTATTAATTTCAGTGGCCAAAGACAGCTTGGCATAAGGATGAAATATGAATAGTAACATCCTCAATGGAATAAAATCATGTTTTGCACCTATGTAAGAACTCTCTGTGGATCCTGGAATATACAAGGATCTCTGAGTGAGATGAACCCACATCAGGGGTGGGTTCCTGCCAGTTCTAACCTCTTCTATATAAGAGCTTCCACAAATCTACAGTGCCGTTTAGAACCGGTTCTA